AAGTACATATTTCAAAAAGAGTTTCAAGAAAGTATATTTTGCCTCAAGTGTACATTTTTAGAAAGAAAGCATAGTCCGTTTTTAAAGAAAATGTGTTCAGCTTAAAAGAAAAGGAATAAATACACTGGGATTTTAGTCATAATTCGGATAGTAATAGGGCCCTAGTTAAGTTAAGATATGTTGCTGAGATTTTGGTCATAGTTCAGAGATATGTATGCCTTATCCCTTAAAGAAAACATATCTCAACTTTGAGAAAGCATAGTCAACTTTTCAGAAGAAGCATAGTCAGTTTTAAAGCAAGTTCAGTTCTTCCTCAGTTCTAAAGAACTATTTTGAGCAATGACTCAAAGAAAGAGAATTCCAATTTTCTCCTAAAGTGGGACAACTTTAAATTATTGAACACCAATGCATGTTTTGCAAGTAGTATTAAACACCGAGGTGGGTAAGGATTCAGATAGTCTAAAACCCCAAAACTTCACCACCAACATATGATATGATTTTATCGTTGATTCGAGTGATTCCTTAGAAAGCCCCTAAAATAAGAGCTCAGAGATTGGATATAGTTAAGTTTGTCATTTATCGTGACAAGGTATTGAATGACTCTGACAACGTGGACAAGATGTTGTATTGTCATAAAGCTCACATGATGGTTGTCGGTTAAAGCAACTCCCAAAGAACAATAAAATTGTAAAACTTGATTTTTTAAAATCGATGTGCCATAATCGTGAATCATTTCGAGTGAATAATATATCAAAAGACTCTAAACATTGAGAGGAGCTCTTATCTAAATTTTAGGACTACTTAGAGGCTATTTGACTTAGTTGAGATACAAAGAGATCGATCTGCAATATATAAATATTATATAAACAAAATATATAATGTATATACATCATTGTTACTAGGGGTGTACATGGTCGGGTTGGTTCGGGTTTTTCAAATATCAAATCAAACCATTTGTGCCGGATTTTTAAATCTATAAACCAAACCAAACCAATAAAACTCGAGTTTTTCAACTTCGGGTTTTTTCGAGTTTTCAGATTTTCGGGTTTTTTCTGAAAAAGTATTCATACAAACATATAATTTACTTGTACTTCAAATATTTCTTTAGTCTTACCAAAGTACAACTATCTAAGGTGTTTCTTAAGAAAATAACACAAAAATATTAAATGAGTAATGATACTAAAATATCCAACAAAAAATAATAATAATAATGAAATCGCGTAAAACAAATATTGCAAATTAACAAGTCATAATGAAAATGATCATAATTTAAAAGTAATAAATCATGCTAAAATAAGTTTAATAAGTATTAGTTACATGACTAAATATTAAAGAAAATTAAAATTAGATTATGTATTTGAATAAACCAATGTAAAACCATAGAACAAATATTCAATATTATTGTCATTCTTAGTGTTGAATTGATAATTTTTTTTGCTTTAGTATTAATTTAATTTTGATTTAAGCTTTATTTTATTTACCAATATTTATGGACTATAATCTTTATTGAACCATTTAGATTTCTAAGTTTCAAACTTGAAATAATAATATATTAAAAGATAAAACTATGAAAAAGTATAAGAAATATTTAAAAATTATATCAAAGTAAATATTTTTATGTATAAAATAAAATTTTAAAATTATATATATAATGTAGGGTTGGTTTGATTTCGGGTTGGTTTTTTTTAGTTAAAACCAAACCAACCCAAATATAATCGGGTTTTTTTTCCAATACCAAATCAAGTAAAACCAACCACCAGTCGGGTTTTTTTCTCGGTTTAACTCGATTTGCAATTTGATTCAATTTTCGTTTGGTTTTGTACACCCCTAATTGTTACATAGTTATACATCATCTATATACAATTATACATTATTTATATAATATTGATACATTGCATATGCATATTAATTTATTTAGGAAAAATGATCAAAAATATCCTTACACTATTGGCAATAGAATAAATATACCCTCCGTTTGAGTTTGGGTGCAAAAGTACCCTCACCGTTACCCAATAGGCTAAAAAATACCCTTCAGTAACGGAAGAGTGGAAAAAAGGAATTTAGAAAACTTTTAAAATAAGAAAGGGTTGACTTTTTGTTTTGTTGCCTCCTCTCTCATTCTGCTCGCTCCCCCCCCCCCCCCCCCCAAGTTCCATCCACCAGTAACACCCTGTTTTATAATTAAAAAAAAAAGTTAATTTTTCTCAAGACAAATATAGCAAGAACTTGCATGATTTTTCCATTTACGAGCTAAAATGCTAAATTCAAGTTATGCCATCTCATTGCCAAGTAGAGCAAATATATATCAAGCAAAGGATATGTAGAAATATTGAGTACTCTTGTCAAAAAGTCTAAATCTATTACTCATTTTTCTATCATTACTGCACAAAATTGAGTTAAATTTTCAGTATATGTAAATTAAACTGAACAATTCAACATATACACTGGCAGTCTGGCACTAATTGTTCTTGTAGGAAAATTTTGCTCTATGTATCATTCCTACATGCTAGTTTTCTCCGCTCAATATCCTTCAATTTGCAATAAGTTCATGTTTACTTTTAGGGAAAAGGGTTTGAAAAATACTTCAATTTTGGCCGAAATTGCTGTTACGATATCAAACTTTGAAAATGACCTTTTACCCCCTGTACTATTTAATAGTACATTTTACCCTCATGTACTATTTAATAGTGTATTTTAAAGGTATATATGTGCCTACGTAGACATCATAAATATTGCATCATTTTAAATAGTAATGTGTCCACGTGGGCACATATATACTTTTAAAATACACTATTAAATAGTGCAAGGGGTAAAAGGTCCTCCACAAAGTTAGGTATCGTAACAACAATTTCGGTCAAAGTTGAAGTATTTTCCAGACCCTTTTCCCTTACTTTTAAGTAACTTATATGCATACAACAGAAATATTAAAAGGTTGCAATTTATCTTGATTGCTATATATGTTTCCACTTGTTGAAGAAAAATACTTGAAGGTTGAAGTTAGTTTGTTTTGCAATATTGATCAGAAATGACTTCAGTACAATAAAAATAACTTTTAACAACAATAAATATATGTATTAATAAAGAGATATTTACCACATTAGTTAATTATTATTGGATCCAATATCGTTATAAGCTTTAGACACATTTACGAAGAGTGTTAATTGTTGTTCAATATATATATATATAAACTATTGTCGTTAATTAATTGCCACTAAAGATATTTTTGATGTGGTGCTTATATACAAATTTATTTACTTGACATCATAAAATTTCATCATCGCACTCCAAACATTAGTTAATGGCTGTTTTTTTTTCTTTTTTCGAATACAAACCATGGTCGTGGGTGAAACTTGAGTGTAGATTAGTCAAAATGAATTCAGTTTTGTGTGACAAACGATGGATTTAAAATAGTTTCTTTTTTGTTTAAGAGGTAAGGAAGGAACAAAGAAGAAGAAGAGGTAAGAAATGGGTGTGGCAGCGGACATAATGAGAGAGAAAATTGGGAGGGGCAAGTGAAAACTTTTTCTTATTTTAAAAGTTTTTTAGATTCCTTTTTTTTTTTACTTTTCCGTTAGTCAGCGTATTTTTGAGCCTATTGAGTAACGATGAGGGTAGTTTTGCATCCAAACGTAAACGGAGGGTACATTTGCTCTATTTGCAATAGTATGAGGGTATTTTTAACCCTTTTCTCATTTTTTTTATTTTATATATATATATATATATATATATACTTGTCCATATATATTGGTAAATGACCTATTTATTTATCTAATAGTTTTCCAGTCATAATATTTTCTTGGATTATGGAGAAAATATCTAAAGATCTCTAAGCTTTAACCAAATGAATAAACTTGATAAGAGAGGGTAAATTTCATAGTTATTTCGTTGAATAAATGAGTTTGGATTTATGATTTTTTTTTTCCGTAAGAAATGAAATTAAGGTGTAAAGTTCATTAGCTTATTGAAGATAAAAAAAAAATTATGAAAATATATACAAAGTGTATGTATAATTATTCATAAAATAAAATATATTGTATACATATAATTGTAAGATTTGTGTATATAATTTATCATTTTGGTTTGTTATTTTCTTTAGTTTGTTTTTAATAAAAACTAAGTCAAATAGTATCAATTTTTTTTTTATAAAAAAAATCAAATCCAAATTAAACCAAATCAAATAAAAAATAATTTATAATTTAATGTCTAATTGGATCGATTTTTTAACCAAAATGTGAATACCCAAATTTTTCCATCAATAAATTGACTTCTTCTATCATTTGATTGTTTTTTGCTCCCTCCGTCCAACAATACTTGTCCACTATATTAAAAATAGACGTTCAACAATATTTGTCCACTTTATGAAATTCATAGATAATTTTACACTTAGTTCTTAATTTACCCTTATCATTAATTATAATCATATTCCTACTACACTTTTCAAGACATAGTATTTATTCAAAAATATAGTAAAATTATCCTTCTATTTATAATTTCTTAAGAGATGTACTAAGTTAATAGTTGACAACTATTGTTGGAGAGGGAGTAATAGATATGCTTACATATCTTCTACAACTTTCGTTACAAAAGTAATGCACCACAATAAGCATAACTTATTAAAACCCATTTCATTAACTGTTAAAGAGGATAATCTCAAAAACAAATTCTATAAGCTATCATAATTGACTTAATGGAGTTGGACTTGAAGATTTTTTGTGCTTTGATATAAATATTGTTTTGTGTCTCAGTTAATATGACTTACTTTCATTTTTAGTCGGTCCAAAAAAGAATGACACATCTATAAAATAATTTAACTTTAAAATACTCATTTTACCCTTAATGAAATGATTTATAGCCACACAAATATTTATCACTTATTTTAGACCAAAATTTCTAAAGTCTTCCTTTCATTCTTAAACTCTGTGTAGAGTCAAACTAACTCATATAAAATGGGAGTACAACTTTTCATACCTTTATACAAGTATAAGCAAATTTCTTTGAGGAAAAGTCATTGCAAACCAAGGTAACTGTATATTTAGTGGCTCCATGCATCTCAATTTATACATCTATTTCCATGTTGTCAATAAGCCTGACCTTTCCAAACCATACTGCTACACAAAATACAACTGGTCTCTTGATTGTTTCCACTGGCTCTAAACTTTCTTGATCCACAATCTGATGCAAGGAAGGTGTCAGCAATGAGGTAAAACAAAACCAACAAATCGGAAAGAAACTTTTTATCTGTATTGATGATAACCTTCATGTTGCTAAACAAAAATATTGTGGAACTTTGCACAGGTTCATGTCCGGATAAAGCTTCCAAGACGCTAAACATACCAAATACTGATAATGTGTCTACTAGTTCAAGAGGGTAGTATAGGAGAAGTGGTGTGACTAGAGAGCTTTATCATGTTACTCGCTCCTTAAAAAAGCCGATGTATGGTACTCCATGTATTTCTATTGGTAAATATATGTTACAGCTAGAGGACCTTGAAAGCACAATTGGCAAGATTATGCCATACTTCCTTAAGTAATTGAGTTACCAGTTGGTATATTCTGTTGTTTATATCTATATGAAAGACATTATTTTTCTTCAAGTTCTCACCTCAGCATAATCAACCGTTCCACCAGCTTCAGATATGGTAAGAATGGCAGTATTTATCAGCTCCCTGCAGTTGACCTGACCCTTTTCTGCTTCAACTTGTGCTCTAGACAGCGCACGACTAATTGATAAAGCCTGTAGAATAGTAGAAAGAGCAAAAAGTTTCAATTAACACAAAAACCAGACTAATAAAGAGAACCTTAGTAGGAAATCACTTTTTACGAATGCATTATCCCAGATATTTTGATTCTGAATAGCTTATGTTTGCATAATTAGTATATCTAAGAAGCAGGTTTTTATGATCATATATTAAGAGATAATGACAGCAGAAGAAGCACCCTTTGTCTGTCCGCAGGTGAAAGTTTCACATTACGGGAACTCATTGCAAGGCCATCATGCTCTCGTACTATTTCAGAACCAATCACCTTTATCCCAAAATCAAGATCTCGGACCTGAAATAGAATTACGTTGAGACTATCAATTAAAAATCACATCAGACTTCAGCTCTAAAGCATACTACTTGATTAAGACTAGCAAAGTAACAAAAACCAAGCAACATTTCAACATCTTCCTGATTAGCACTTTTACTTTCAGAGGGGCAGATATGGCCATATTTAGGGGTGGCATTCAGTATTTCCAAAGTTTGGTTTCCCTAATTCGGTATTCGGTAATTGAAAGTAGATACCAAATATTGAACTTTCAAAGTTTGGTCCGGTATGGTAAATTCCGGCACAATAAATACGTATTGACAGGGTGGAGTATTTCAATTATCTCTTAACCCAGAATTTGCAAATTGATGCAGGAAGATATTGAATTTTCTATCTTCAATTAATCATCAAAGTCATAAGAAATCGAAAAAGTAGAAAATGCATTTTTAGCCAATTCTTCAAATAGATCAAGCAACACCAAAACATCATTCATAATGACAAATATAGTGTCAAAGCTTCTAAATGCATCATTTGTTCTCTTCATAAGATCCCCAAAGATAACAACTTTCGGTACATGACTATCTGAGACACTCAACTCCCCTCTTAATACGAATCAAAAGAGCAAATAAACACATCATCAAAATCAAGCTATTGGCAAACAAAAAGTAAATGTTATTAACAGTCGTTGGAATAAAAACAAAATCCCTTTAACATAGTAGCATGTACTGACAGATGTTGTAAATCGGAAACAACCTCTCTACCTCTAAGGTACTTGATAAGGTTTGTGTACACTATACCCTTCACAAATCCCACCTTGTAGGATTACACTGGGTATGTTGTTGTTCTTGTTATACTGATAGATGTTAGATGGCCAAATACATAAGTTGCCCCTTAAAGTTGCCATGAATTTTCATTTTGACACCTAAACTAAAGCTTGTTCCTATTATACCCTTCAATACTTATTTATATGTGTCTATTGAACATCTAAGTCACAATCTTTCTTTAAAATAAAGAGTGTGCTATACAAACGATCTGATATAAAAATGTGACCAAGAAATGACTGGCACATAAACAGTAGAAAAAAAGGTTCTTCTCTTTCCTCAAGTTGTGTATTTCAATTACGAAAACAAAATAGAAAATTTCAACCACGAAAACGCAATCACCTCTTCGGCGGTGAAAGCAACGACTGCTGCTAAATTCGCCACCACCATCACTTTCTATTACATCCATCTCATTACCACCATCCATCCACACTTCAAGATTAACCACCAACATCAAACTCATCATTCATCACTCCACTCTCACACAACACCCCTATTCGCTGCACCATCAGCAACAGAGGAGGTAATATAACCCCCAGTCAACAGAGGAGATAAAGAAATTGTTGTCACGGGGGAAAAATTGAAGTTTTGGGTGACAAATGCTTACCAAAGTTGAAGAAATCAATAAATAGTAGTAACGCAAACGTTAAGACTTTGATGAGCATCGCAAATCTGAACAAACTCCATCACCTCACTCCCTTCATTCACTTATTCATTTTGTTCCTTACACTGGATATACACCCTCATTGAATGATTGGATTTTCAAAAAATCAAATAAATTGGACCACAGTACTTATAGCTAATTAAAAAAAAATAAAAAAAATTGACCACAGTCCACATAGAACTGCTAAATCAGAAGAATTCTTAGATACAGCAAAGGGATTGTTGTGGCCATATTTTGGGAGTCCATAATCAAAAACTATTAATGAGATAACATGTATCTTTTACCATAAAATCTACCACTTAGGAGTCGTTTGGTGTGAGTTATAAGGTATAATAATCACACAGATAAAATATTAGGCATACGGGATAATTAATTTGGGGATAACTTATAATACCTTCATCCAAACAGCTAGTACATGTAAAGTCATCCAACATTTCAACAGAAAAAACAAAAGAAAGTTTTTAGCAAATCTTACCATTCTCTGTATAATCCTCCATTGCTGATAATCCTTCTTACCAAAGACAACAACATCAGGCTCAACTATATTGAACAACTTGGTAACAACAGTAGCAACCCCTCTAAAGAAAACAGGCCTACTATTCCCACACAATCCCTTTTCCAATTTTTCAACTCTAACCCAAGTTTCATGCCCCATCCCTTTATCTTCAACACAAGATACCACCATTTCCTCACTCTCTTCTAAATTCCTCTCAGACCCATTTCCAATTTGAGAATTCCCATAGTCATACAGATTTTTGGGGTTGAATACAACATCAACCCCACCAGGTACAGAGTTGAGTTTCTCGATATCGCCTTGAAAATCAGATGGGTATGTTGAAAGATCTTCATTGGGTGAGAATTGACCTGGATTAACATAGATGGAGACAACTATAAGGTCAGCTTGATTGTGTGCATCTTGGACTAGAGAAAGGTGACCTTGATGGAGGTAACCCATGGTGGGTACAAAGCCAATTGTATTGCCTTGGGCTCTCATACTCCTTGTCCATTTTCTCATCTCATCCTTGTCTGTGATGATAATTGCTTCTTTAGCTGCCATTTTCGATTAGCTCCAATTCCTCTTTGGTCAGCTATCTCTTCACTCTATGAATATCCTTACTACCTATTCCATCTATATTCTTTCAAAATTAATTTAATTAATTTTTAAAATTAAATTAAATTTATTTGATATTTTAAAATTATATAAAAAAATTATAAAATACATTTATATGATGACAAAATACATTTAAAATTTTTAGTCAAAATTCATATAATTTGATTTTTAAGAATAGTTGAGGGTAAAATTTACTCGCACCGAATATATACATCAATCCAATACATGTATGTTATGTGTTTAAATTTATACTTCATCTTAATTAATTAACATGTGTTTTACTTCATTAAATCACATAATAATAAAAATTACATTAGTTTAATGTATACCGCGATGCGGATAAGTTTTTTCGACCAATAAGAAGGTGGGATGTGCTGGCGGCTACAAAATACTCCCTCCGTCTCAATTGACAAGTCTAATTTTACACAATATTTAAGAAAATAGGAAAAAAAATTAATAGTTATGGTTTAAAATAATTTTTAGATATTTATAAAAATTATAAATTATTTTATCAAGAATAAAGTAGAATTTAAAATTAAATTATTTCTAATTATAATACGGTGACTTGCATATGAATATTTTTTATCAAAATAAGTTATTATTTAAACTAATTCACCAAAATGATATATTTTTTAATTTTTTTTTTATAAAACTAGTATAAACAAAATTCATAGTAGCATTTAAGGTTTTATTTGATTAAAAAATAAATTAACGGCGTTAAATGAATATACGTTACTGTCAGTAACGATTTTAGATTAAAATATAGGAGAAATTACTAAAGTACACTACATATGTTTACCTATTATCAATTAATCCCTTCTCTTTCATAAAAATTCAAAAATCTCTACTTTTCCCCAATTCCTCTTTTCCGGATACTTTATTATGAAAGAAACCAAACCCATCTTCCTCACCCCCAAAATCTCGCCTATAATCTCTCCCACTACCAAATCAGTTACTGCTTTCAAAGCAATTGGATTTTCAAACAATTCAACAGTCCCAAAGTTCAAAATAGGTATTATTCTTCTTCTTCATTTTTCTTTCAAAATCAATTTTTGGTTTCAATCGATTTTGGATTATTTGTCACAATGGATCATCCGTCTTTTAATATTGGGATTTCCCAATTAATAACACCTAACAATGAACAATTTTTTGAATCTAAACACCCCAACTTGAATGAACATAGGTCTAAAAGCTTGCATGCAACGACATTAATGGCGAATCGAACTTCTTCCAAGAGAAAATTGAAAACGAAAGTGGGGTCATCATCTAAAGCAAAGGATGCAAAAACTAAAAAGAAAAGGGGTAGAAAGGTTGCCCCTCCCATTTTCCGACCAACACTACCCATGGTATGTCTTTCTTTTGCTTTTAATTTTAGACATTGTTGAAAAATAAACTTATATAGTGTATATTGTAATATGTAGTTTTAACCTAGAAACACTGATTGTTTGGGTTTGAGTTTAACTTTTAAATTTGTAGATGAAAGATATGGTTGAAAAATATTGTTTTATTGTATATATTGAAATCTAGAGTTTTTTACCAGAAACACTTATGTTTTATCTGATGTTGATATTGAGTATAGATTTTACATTTGTTGATGAAACACATTGTTGAAAAATAAAGTATCTTGGTATATACTGAAATGTTTAGTTTCTACCCAGAAACACCGATATTTATCAATTGTTGGTAGTAAGGTTTCATTGTTGAAAAATAAAGTATCTTGGTATATACTGAAATGTTGATTTTCTACCCAGAAACACTGTTATTTTATCAATTGCTGATATTAAGGTTTCATTGCTGAAATAAAGTATCTGTTACTTGTGATTCATATACGTAGATGATACAAAAATAAGTATTTGTTTTACATTTGTAGATGAAACACTAGTTTAAGGCAAGTTTTGTGTGCTGAGATTTGTATTTAAGATAGGCGTTCAATTCGCTATATGATATAGAGGTTATTTGTTGTACAGTGTATCATATTCGTAGATATGCACATGAATGATGCGAAAACAGAATTTAACATATATGTTAGTTAACATTTTGTATCATATTTAAATAGAAGCCAATGTATATACATAAGTAAAATGATTTTCTGTATCAGTCATGCAATTTTGGCATACTAAGTATAAAATGATCTGAAACATGATATTTCCCTTTTAGTTATGTATGCATCATTTATCAATTTAGTTATTGATCAACAGCATTTATCTTTCTGTAATTGCAGAATATGAAATATGTGATTAAACATATTCCAAAGCAACCCCTAAAGTTTGGTCCTACTTACAATTCTAATTTTAAAGAAAACTTAGAATTGTCAATAAAGGATGAAGGTATGAACAAGTTTAAGGATACCATATTTGGCCAGTACCTTAATATCCCCAAGTGCCACTACCAAGGACAAATTACCAAATGTTTATATCTTCTGGAGGTTGAGCATGATAATTTAGACAAAGAAATCCATATTCATCATGCTAAAGGAAATGTATTGCAATTTTCTATTAGAGAATTTGCAATTATTACTGATCTCAAGTGTACCGGAAATGTTAAAGATTTTACATATCCGATTTCAAAAATTAGTAAGCTAGTTCAGCGATGCTTTCCTGGTCCAAATTATAACGTAAACAAAGGACGGCTGGTAGATCGTTTTGAGTTGGGTATTTGGGACAGCAGTGATGAAGCTCTTCAGATGGCTATATTGTATTTCATTCATACGTTTGTTTTCTCCCAACTCAGTGATGCACCAATTCCTATAGAAGATTTCTTTATGGTAGAAGATGGCAGCTATAAACAGTTTTCGTGGGGACAACTTGCCTTCACGAAGTTAATGAAATCATTTAGGAAAGAGTACAAACCTAACAAACAAATGTATCGGTTGAATGGATTTCCATACGCACTTAATAGCTGGGTATATGAATGTGCATCGGCAATGCATAACAAGATAGCTGTTAGAGAAGGAAATGGTATACCAAGAGTATGCAATTGGAAAGTTGTGGGTGCAAAGCCTAAATACGAGATGTTTATGCAAAACATCTTTACTGAGGTAATTAGTATATAGCATCCTTTTTTACTTTATTGTTTTATTTGTGATACATTATTTAAATAGTTCTAACGATGTTTTAATTTTTGTTTCTATAGAATGATTGTTCTAACATGCAACCAACTCAAGAGGAACTCGAATCACTTGATTTACCAAATAATAGTCATGTACCTCCAAATCGGCCAGCCACATCAGTTGCAAATCAGGAAGAGGTGCAACCAGACGATGTTTCTGATTTTGAAGAGTTTTCATCAAAATCTCCGGAGCAACTGTTAAGGAGATGCACACGTCTTTGTACCACAGGATCCACCACACCCCCCAAGAGAAGAAAGGTTGCACATCCAACAAAGAATAATGTGCCAAAGACAACACCAGACGTGCAAAAGAATCAGCCATTTCAAACTTCGATTTCACAACCCCTAAAGTTTGATAGTGTATCTGGTGTTCATTTTAATACAGTTCCCCGAAGAACATTATCGGACAATGCAAGACTCGAGGATCTGGAGGGTCACATTAAGTCTTATGTAAGAAAACATAACTATGTCATTTAAACATTTTCATTGTTATTTATAATCTCACTTACTATGCTTAATTTGAATCCAGGTTGACCAAAAAATTGGAGCTCTTGAGGTGTTAATTATAAAAAATCATTCTGAGTTGATGAAATCAGTTGCCGCGAAAGATAACAAAAGTGATAAGGTAGTATTTTTATTTTTAGATTATCTTTTTAGTTTTGTGTTATACTCATTTTTTTCATCATGAAGGACATTGGTGGCATTTCTATGCCACATATAGTGGATGATTCAGTAGACAAAGGTAATGTTGATCTAGAATCTGCTTCTGATCAATTATTCCAACAACCCATTTCACCTATACAAATGAATTTTGCAACTGTTGATCACGATGGTGATGCATCTGCTATGGAGGTTGAACAACGACTTGTTAACGAAGAAAATGTTGCAAAGGTATGCATATGATACTTAAATTTAATTATATAACTTAATGACTTTCAATCATTAGTTAATTTCATTAAAATTATTAACAATGTATCATTTACAAATGATTGATAATTTAGTAATTTTAATTCATATAATGAAAAAATCATTGACTTTTTGTGTATCATTAGTTGTACAGTAAACACTTAAATCACTTTTGCTACTATATTTTTTGTTTTGAATCACCAGTCACGTATACTTTATAATTCCTTCCTTATATTTTGTTTTACAAACATAGATTGAAGAGCCATCCATTAAGGATTTTGCAACTGTTAATCATGATGTTGATGCAAATGATGTGGAGGTTGAACAACGACATGTTAACGAAGAAAATGTTGCAAAGGTATGCATATGATACTTGAATTTAATTATGTAACTTAATGACTTTCAATCATTAGTTAATTTCATTAAAATTATTAACAATGTATAATTTACAAATGACTGATACTTTAGTAATTTTAATTCATATAATGAAATAATCAGTGTCTTTTTGTGTATCATTGGTGTACAGTAAACACTTAAATCTCAGTTGATACTATATATATTTTTTGAATTACTAGTAACAGATACTTTATAATTACATCTTAATATATGCGTTTACAAACACAGATTGATGAGACATCTATTAAGGATCAGATTATGGAAGATTCAACAAATGTTATACCCACAATACACCATAGTGATGTTCCGATAGAAGAGTTTGTTCATAATAAGGAAGTGGTAAGTAAAGATCTTTTGAATTGTTACAATCAATTATTTTTGAAACTAAATCGAAATGATGTGTAATATTCTGTTTATTAGGAGGACGCAGTACATAAAGTCACACAATTGCACACAAAAGTATTGAGCTGTGATAAAATTGTTGCTGATTCAATTAAACAAGACTCAAAAAGACATGCTTCAAATCCAGTAATTGTTGATACATCTGTCTGATTCTAAATTGTTTAAT